GATGATGTTCTCTAGTTGGGTCGTGAAACATCTGCAAGAAAGCAACCAAGCTCAGGAGGCCCCAAGGATTCCTCATTTCAACCCTGAGCTACAATGATTCCCCTTTATTAAGACCTGCCCTGTTTCCGTCTTTCTTTGCTCGATTTTGATGTGCTAACAGCATCTACCTGCTTGCTCTCTCGCCTACCTGCAAAACACGTTTCCAGGTTTTCATGATGAATGGTGCCAAGATCTGATCTATTCTCCCAACTTTTTTGCTTTGAGCTGGTGGAATTTCCCCTTGCAATAGTCTTGGCTGTTCCACTAGCACCCCAATTTGTGGTTTAAAAGTGGCCAAAAATAAACCTGCCGATTTTACCTGTCGAAAAAGAGAAGGTGCATTTAGACTTTACCGTTATACTACTAGACGAAAAACATCCGCATTTAAGCTGAGCCTTTACCCTATTTAAGCTCAACAAATATTAGGGAGTTAGTTAATTTCCCTCTGAAGGTTTTATGGTACCGAAGATGGATGTCTAGTTCATACCACTGCATATATTTGACTAATTAACTTTTCATTTGTTTGGGGACGAGTTTATTATGCACATCTATGCAGATAATTTTATTCTGCTGATGGACTTTTTTTTCCCTCCTTCTACAGCATGTTTTTCCTTCAGTAAAAATTGGGTGGTTTGTTGATTTAGCTTCCCCACCCCCCTTCCTTAATTCCATAGGTGTGTGTTGACATTGAGTCCTATTTATGGTATGGTAATTTTTGTTTTTGTTTTACATCTATTTGGTTCTTGAATGCAGTTGGTGATAATCCCGGGAGGATAAAAATAGCAGACATGGATTTTACAATGAAGGAGATGTGATTAGAATATATAATGGTTGATTCAGTGAAATATATAGGAAAATATTAATAAACAACTGATGCAATTGGCACAAGAAACTGGGCTAATTTAATATATTGGACCCATCTTAGATGCTTCTAACATTGCGGATAGAAGCGTCGGGAAGGGAGTAATCAAATTCTCACTGGATAAATTGAATTTTCTTGTCTTTTAATTATTTGAAGGCAGAAAAACCAAGCTATTCCAGGGCAATTCCATGTCTCTCTCTCTCTCCTACCTTCCAGCAAAAGATTTTCTTCATTGGATCTTAGCTGCTAATTTCAAAAGTGTTTTTGTTGTTGTTGTTCATTTTAAAAGCAGATAATTTGATCAAATCTACAAAAAAAAAAAAAAAAATTCCGTGCTGGAGTCCTCCCCTCGCTTTTCTTAACCAGTGTCCCTACTGCAGAAATGTCATCAGATTATTTTAAGAAAAGAAAAATAGTTTGCTGATTTCTTGAACGGGGGAAGGAGAAATCTTGCTGGACTGAAGATTGACACAATATTAGAACTAAATCCATTTGCAGAGCGGCAGAGGTAGAAGTAGAATGACCCATAAGGATCCCCATTTCAAAACAACTTACCTTATGTGCAGCCAGAAACTGAAAATAACATTTAACTCAGTACGGTACTTAAGCAAAATGGTTCAGTTGAGATCTGCATATGCGGGACTGATTGGGGTAGATTGCAGGGGTGACCCCGAGATATAATTTTATCATATTTTACCTCTTATCTTAAATGATTGCATTTTATTCCAATTTCATTTTAAGACTGTACTTTATTCCAGTGTCATTTTAAATCGTACTTTATTCCAATTTCATTTTAAATTGTATTTTATTCCAATTCCATTTTATATTGCTTTTTATCAAATTTCAGTAATCATCTGTTTCTGGAACTCTTGCACTTTGATATGACCCAAGGGCTAATCATTAAATAAAGATGTAATTGATGTTAATAACTATGTGCAAATAAAGGATAGAGGATAAGTAGAACTGAATCAAAGATTTAAGTTGCCATTTTTTGCAAGGAGAACTCTTCCTTCTTCTTCTTCTACTTCTTCTTCTTCTATTTTTATCTTTTAGCACCAATAATGGAGATGTAATTTACTATTATGGAAACAAAGGAGACGCAGAACCTCTCTTCTTAAATCCCGGTGGGTTTAATTAAAAACAAAACAAAACACGGTTACCTTGAATTTATTTAAAGCAGTGGTTTGGCTGCATACCTGCATGTGTATTTTGCCATGACGGACATGAAGACAAAGGGATATACGTCATCTTTTGGGAGATTCAGAAATGGGCAGCTACTGTTTGCTCTGGCAATTACCTTGGCAATTTTAAGACCGGTGGACTTCTACTCCCACAATTCCTCAGCCAGCTGAACTCCCAGTTCTGGGAGTTGAAGTCCCACCTGTCTTAAACTTGCCAAGGTTGGACACTCCTGGTCCAGACTGTTGACTGCAATCCAGGAAGAGTTCTATTTCTAATGTTCAGTTTTGTTAACATTGCAAGTTTGAAGATGACTTACAAGTTGGGATACATGTGGATGGTTTTTCACGTGGATGATAAAAAGAGTCGTTGGGTTCAACACCTCTGGAGAACAATACATGAGAGGTAGTCTTCGACTTACAACCGTTCCTCTAGTGACCAAAGTTACCCTGGAGAAAGTGAGTCACGGCTAGTCCTCACACTTACAACTGGTGCAACATCGGCACAGTCACATGATTAAAATTCGAGCAACCTGCATCTATATACGATGGTTGCAGGGTCCAGGGTGGTGGGATCGCCATTGGCCACTTTCCCAGCGTTGTTTCCAACAAGCAAAATCCGCTTAACGTCTGCTAGCCACCTTGCTTAGCGACAGAAATAAGCCCTAATGAAGAGGCAACGTTACATTAAAAAAAACTCAGGTAGTTTCCTCTTCCCCTCCCCTGCCCCCAATAATTTACATAAGTTATACAAGGAGAAGAAAAGAACCCCGTTCAAATTTGCGAGGTTGTGTTTTCTAATGATCCAGTTTAATCAACATAGTTTGAAGCCTCTCTGGAATCTGTTTCTGATCTGATCTTCCTGGAAAGATTGACATGTAGAAGAACTCAGGACGTTGAGAGCAGGTGACATTGTGACATTATGGCATTGTGGACAACCAACTAATTATGAGCTAGCAATGTGCGGCGGCAGCCAAAAAAGCCAATGCAATCCTAAATTGCATTAAACAGAGGGATGCAATCAAGATCAAGCGAGGTACTAATACCACTCTATAAAGCCTTAGTAAGACCCCACTTGGAATACTGCATCCAGTTTTGGTCACCACACTGTAGAAAAAATGTTGAGACTCTAGAAAGAGTGCAGAGAAGAGCAACCAAGAAGATGAGGGGACTGGAGGCTAAAACATACGATGAACGGTTGCAGGAACTGGGCCTGGCTAGTCTAGAGAAGAGAAGGACCAGGGGAGACAGGAGAGCAGCCTTCCAATATTTGTGGGGCTGCCACAGAGAGGAGGAAGGGGGTCAAGCTATTTTCTAAAGCACCCAAAGGCCAGACAAGGAACAATGGATGGAAACTGAACCAGGATAAATTTTCTGACAGAGCAATCAACCAGAAGTTCCTTTGAAAGTTGTGGGAGCTTCATCACTGGAGGCTTTCAAGAAGAGACTGGAGTGCCATCTGTCAGAAATGGTGCAGGGTCTCCTGTTTGGGCGGAGGGTTGGACTAGATGACTTACAAGGCCCCTTCCAACTCTGATAACCTGGTAATGTTCTGTTAATTGTAACACAAACCACAGGCAACCCCAAAAGGCCAATCTTGCATTGCAAAGGCCAGTATTGTCATTCTGCAATGCCGCTTCTCCCTTTGTGTATATATTTGAGGCCTTTTTTGCGATAACCCAGCTCTGGGAACAAAACAAACAGGGGATTCTTTTAATCAAACAGCCCTAATAAACCTTTTTGCTGGGTAAGATAACTGCGAGCCTGTCTTTAGCGTTTTCCATTTGCAGTATTCTGTTCCTAGCAAAGTGATTTTTATCATACACCTGTGGTGTCAAGACTTTTATTTCCCGGGCTTATCTGTGGCAAAACTACAGGGTTGTGGATAAAAAAACCTCATTGCTGCATTGAAGCATATCTTTTTTTAGCAAGCTGTTCCAAACATACAAACCCTCCGGATTATCCAGGGTATATTTTCTATCATTTTATTTCCCCAAAAGCAAAAATCAAGTGAATGCATATCTTGCTGTCTAGTGAATCATCCCTCTTTTTTAACCCCGTAAACTCAAAAGTGGCGTTCCCAAGAACTTCGCCCGTATCCCAGCGTTTTTAGTTCCCGAAAATTGAGTTGCGCGCACGATGGACCAATGGTTCATGCGTGGCGAGAGTTGGGCTGAGACGAGCAACGTCGCCACGGTTTCCGTGTTTCGTAGGGAGCTTAATTGTTGTGGGTGTTGTGAACTTATCACCCAGGTGAGCAGCTTCCTTGGGCTTCATTGCAAAACGCCTGAAGGTAGATTTGATCTCGCCACACAGGGGTATACGGCTTGAGCAACTCTTTGCTGGATACGCCTTGGAAGAAACTTCAGTACGGAAAGCAGCTTTTTTCAGATGTCATCAAGCACAGCCAGAACCTCCAGAAAGAAGACCTGGTCCAGGAACTGATTAAACTGTTGAATAACGAGGACCCGTAAGGCTCTGCCGTCTTCTCTTGTCTCAACTCATAAAATATTTCTATGGTCTTTTTAGAGTTGCCAATAGAAAAGGAGAGGGAGCAGTGTGGGAGCTTGGAAATTGAAAGTGCATTCCATAAATGTTTTCAAAGATGGTAACTAGGTGACTGAAGCTTCTGCCATCCAAAATTCTAACGGGAGAGCATGATTGATGACTCCTGGCTATGGAGGTGTCCCATTGGAGAATATGAATTACGATACACCCAAGGGGTCAGGGGAAAACCAGGGTCAAGGGTGACCATGAATGATGTGCCTCAGAGTCGGCTACACCCAGGCAGTATCGGACATGTTAACTCCCAATAAATCCTTTGAAGTTTTGGAAGTTTGTCTCAAGACAAGTGGGGGTAATTGCCGGAATCCTGACATCTTGCTCTGTTCCAAACCATTCTCTGCAGATGTCCAAGGGTGTGAGATATTGAGAGTTGTAGGCCACCAACATCAGTAGAGTCAAAACTTCCCCTGCCTTGACTTACAAACTGACTTACTTGCTGACAGGGCGGTCCCCATTCCAGAATCAAGGACATTTAGCACGCGATTACATGCCTTTGCAACAGACTGAGCCATCTTTACCTTGGCCAGGTTTATGTAAGAAGGCACCATGACATCCATCCATTATTATGAGGTCAAGGAGCTTCTGGCCCGTGATCATCATCATAATTTAACAACCCTGTAATCCCTTGCGGGGTGGAGTCTGGGAAACTGAATGGAGCTAGCAGAGTGTTTCATAGCCGGACGCTCTTCCTGTTGCCACTCTGGGAGTGTTTGTTCAGCAGATATATTCTTATTGTGCCCAGCGGAGAGAAATTATCTGCCTCTACCTAGGATCGAACTCATAGTCTCCTGATTGTGAAGCGAGAGCTCCACCTCTAGGCCACTGCATCACTTACAAGATTACCCCCTAAGCCATCAATCAATACCCATCTAAGCACAGGAAGTGGGGAATTTCAGTTCCACAATCTCTGATTTGGCTTCTTTTTTGGTCCAGTCAGCTTCCAGACCCTGCAATGGAGGACCAGGGAAAGGATTACGTCCTTCCGTTCCTAAACAAGTATGCAGCTCTGTGCGTCCGATGTCCAGGTTATGGAACCAGGTAAGAGGAATATTGCATTGTTCGAATTATATTTTAACCTGTGAGCAAATGGCAGCCCTCCCAGATGACAGCTAATCCTTGACTTGCAACCTATCGTTTTGTGACCTTTCAAAATGAAAAAAGCACCAAAAAAATGAATGAATTAATGAATGAATGAATTAATGAATGAACAAACGAACAAGCAGGAAGGGACCATGGAGGTCTTCTAGCCCAGTCCCCTGCTCAAGCAGGAGTTACGATCGATCTTGACACTTAACTATGGTTGCTGCATCCCCACAGTCACGTGATCAGAATCTGGGCATTGGCAATCGGTCTGTATTTACAACGGTTGCAGCCTCTGCAATCACGTGGTCACCTGAGCCGTGGTGGCGCAGCGATTAGAATGCAGGAGTGCAGGCTGACTGCCATTTGACACCACTTAGAAAGGGCTGTAAAGCACTATGAAGAGGAATATAAATCTAAGTGCTATTGCTACCCCTTCCTTCCTTCCTTCCTTCCTTCCTTCCTTCCTTCCTTCCTTCCTTCCTTCCTTCCTTCCTTCCTTCCTTCCTTCCTATCCCTTCCATCCCTCCCTCCTATCCCTTCCATCCATCCATCCATCCATCCATCCATCCATCCATCCATCCTTCTATGGTGCACAGTGGTTAGAATGTAGTATTGCTGGCTAATTCTGCCCACTGCCAGCAGTTTGATCCTGAATGGCTCAAGGTTGACTCAGCCTTCCATCCTTCCGAGGTGGGTAAAATGAGGATCCAGATCGTTGGGGGCAAGAGGCTGACTCTGTAAACTGTTTAGAGAAGACTATAAACACTGCAAAGCGCTATATAAGTCTAAGGGCTATTGCTATTGCTATTTGCAACCTTCCCAGACAGCTTCCAACAAACACAGCCAGTTGTGGAAGCCAGATTTGCTTAATCCACTGCATGATTCAGTGAGTCACTGCAGTGATTTGCTTAATAATCGTGGCAAAAAAAAAAAAAGAAATTGGCTGTGACTTACTTAACAACCACCTTGCTTAGCAACTGACATTCTGGTCCCAATTGTCATAAGTCGAGGAGTAAACCTATAGTAGTTTACAGCAAGGAAAGGTCCACCCAGATTCTACTGCTGGCAGACACCAGATAGGGAGGGTGTACTTTTCTGGCATTTTTAATAGAGAATCGGTGAGTATGCGTATACCTGATGTAAATAGAATTTATGTACTCTGCATTAAAAGGAAAAAATCCCATCAAGATCCCCCAACCCAGGAAGAAACAGCCCATCCCTCAAATTAAATTGCTGCTCCGTAAAGCCATTGTTTGCTCCAGATTTATTAGGATCTCTGCAAAAGAATTGACTACACTGAGACTTTGATAAACCTATTTCCAACGTACGTTTGGGGATAAAATAGGCACTTGCTGCCATAGATCAAAAGATGAAACAACAACAAAAAAAAGAGCTTGGTGACAAATACCCAACAAGAGTCACAATTCGTGGCCTGACACGTCCCGCAAAGCAAATTTCCATGCACAGAAATTTGAAGGAAGACTCTTTTTAATTCTGGCCCAAACCTATCCGGAAGACATGGTGATTTCAATTGATTGCCGTTATAATTTATTGATTACAATTATTAATGTCCTGCCTTTCGGGGATAGATGTCCAACCAAGCCTTGAAAACAAGATAAGTGATTATAAATCAAAACCCAATATTATCTAGAAGCAAAGAGGCAAACCTTTGCTTTGGTTTAATCTGTCTTCCTTCCTCCCCTCTTCTTTGTTCCAGGAAGGTGTCATAAATCCTGGATTTGGCCCGATATAAAGACACAAACAAGGACAAAGTTGAGCTTTCTCCGTTGGGAATTGATTTGGTGGGGCGGGGAGAGTGGATGGAAGTGCCAGCAAAAAAGGAGAAAAGAGCATTCTTTGGTACCCAGGTGATAGAACTGGCACAGGTTCTGCAAAGATTGGAAAACTGAGTTAATATAAAACAGCAGGAGAGGTCTCTTACGTTAACTGAGTTTGTGCCAAGTAGAATTTATTTCCAAGTTTGCCAGAACACAAGAATTTTATCCGGGACTTTCATTTTACCTCTTTCTGGAAGTGGCCGATTCTGGCAGTGGTTGTTCTTACCTAGGCTCCCAAAAGCACGAAGCCGACTCCTCGTCCTGATAAAACCCCTTTTATTTAGGTTAAAGTGAATTCCTCTCATTCACTTTCCAGCACAGTCCCAGCCAACAGCCTTTCAAGAGATTGCACAACTACAGACCTTTATCAGGCTGGGAGATTCGCCAGGCCGATATCTCCCAAACACCATGCTGTAGCAGACAATACTTGGCCAGGAGTCAGGAACAGATCTTCACCCTAATGAATTGGACTAATTGTCTCTTCCAAACACCGCTCCCTTTCCGCTCCTCTTTTGTTCCCTATCGGAGGGGCCATCCACCTGTGGTTTTACTCCCAAGTCGAACCTTGTTCCTTAGCTATTCCCTTCTCCTGGCAGCTCTGCACATGCGCACACTGGGAACAGGCTCCAGCTGTTCTTCTGCCCCACTGACCTCCGACTCCGAAGGCAGCTGATAACTGTCAGACAGCCTTGGCCCCATCTCTGCCTCCAAACAACCCTCAGCTCTCTCACATACTGACAGGATGCTGGTAGGCACAATCTTATCCCCTTATTTTCCTCCCAAAAAACTAAGCCCGACCACATAGTTTTGTAGTGGAGCACGGGCATCGAGCTAGTCTCTAGTAAAATCGGTCCAAAGGTCCAGAATTCTACGATGTAAAATGGATGGAGGCAAGATTTTAAATTGCCCCCCCGTTTTTTTTCTTCTCAACCCCATATTCATCTGTCTCCATCTGTCTCTGCTTGAAATAAATCATCTACCCTCTCCCTCTGGCCTTCGGTGGAGCAAATCCTGACTGTTTAGGAGAGCATTGAAAAATTATTAATAACGCTCGGGGTGGTTTTGAACCCTAATGCCTCTTTTATATCCTTTTAGCTTTTAAACTGCAATCGAATTTGTTGCATTAGTGTGACTCATGTGTTTTTTTTTCCCTCTTGGGGTGGACTGCTTTGGGTCTTAAAGGCAGAGCATAATACAGGTAGTCTTCCACTTACTACCACAATGGAGCCCCAGATTTCTGTGGCTAAGCAAAACGCTTGTGAATTTTGCCCCATTTTATGACCTCTCTCGCCGCCATTGTTAAATGAATCGCTGCAGTTGTTAAGTTAGTCGTTAAGTGAATCTGGCTTCCCCATTGACCTCCATCCTTGGAAGCTTTCAAGAAGAATCTGGACTGCCATCTGTCAGAAATGGCGTAGGGTCTCCTGCTTGGGAGGGGGGGAGGGGCTAGATGACCTCCAAGGTCCCTTCCAGCTCTGTTATTCTGTAAGACTTTGCTTATAGGAAGGTCACAAAAGGACCTCGGGACACTGCAACCGTCATAAGTACATGCCAGTTGCCTAGTGTGATGACCCGAGGCATGGCACAAAAATAACAAAGTCACAAAAACAGATAAATTCCCTTTAACGCCTCCAACTTGGCCCCCAATGTCCAGTTATCCTCGGATGGAGATCAAACTCTTCCAAAAACAGTCTACAAAGGGAAGAAATGCAGTCCGAACCCAAAGTACAGATAAATTAGAAATTAAAGAAACCAACACAAACCACGCTGAAGTAATTAACATGACAGGCCAGCATAATAAATTGCAGGCTTCCAAAAGAGAATGAAGCACACATAGTTGGGTGGATGCCAAAACACAGATAAGCCTCGACAAAGATAATGCACGCTTTGCTTCCAGCAAGGTGCTGTGTGTGCAAATGCCCTTCTTATATCCTGTTCTCCCAGCTGCAACTAATGAAAGGGATCAGGGCCTTTTCCTCTCCCATAAGACATGTTGCTCCCTTCTCCGTTCCTCTCTGCGTGCCCTTGGATGAAGAGGGGATGGCCCTGGGTCTTCCTCTGAGTGCCCAGCCAGACTGTGCCCATCCCCCGTGTCTTCCACAGCCACCAGAGCCTCACCCTCACTCCCTGTCAGCTGCTCAATCTCCCCCTCAGAATCAGACTCCAACAAGGGCATGACACCTAGCTTTTGATATTTTGACCACATGACGGTGGGGATGTACGTGTGAAAAACGGGTCATAAGTCACTTTTTTCAGGGCCACTGTAACTTCAAATGGTCACTACATGAACTGTTGTAAGTGTTATGCTCCCATCAGCGTCTGAATCCTAGGAGGAAGACGAACAGCCGTCAGGGAGCAGGGGATTGGCTGCATTGGCTGTAGAGGTAACGGGGAAAGGGCAAAGTCAGACTCGGCAGAGCAGGGGAGAGGTAGAACAAGGGAGAGAGGATTCAGATAAAGACCAAGGCCCGCCCACCCCTCATCCCCTCATGGGTGGCGTGGCTTCCGAGGAAGGAAAGGGCCCCGATTCCCTTCACAAGGCACACCTGCGGATGGAGTTTAAAGGAGAGGCAGTTGAGAGGGCCGTTTGTCGGGAACAAATGCTGAATTCATCTAGTGTTAAGAGTTGTGGCCTGCATTCCTGGCATTCCTCCTGATTGTGTGAATTATTGCCGTGCTTCTGTGTGCTTATCTTGCCTTGCTGAAATTATTGGACTCGTTATCTTGCCCTGCTGGAGTGATTGATTGCCGTCATTCTGCTTACAGCATTTGAACTGGAGTATCTGCAGCCAAAGGCTGTTGCAGGTTTGTGGGAGAGTTTTTATCCAGGCCGGAGAGTAATCGGGACGTTGGGGGTAAAGTTGGAACAAATAAAGGGACTCATACCTGTTATCTGGCTGTGTTGCCTTTGTGCCACGCCCCGGTAAGTCAAAGACCACCTGTACCTGTGTCTTTTTTTCTCTTCCCCCTTTTTCAGAGCTAACACAGTCATTCTCGTCGACGGGGAAGGACATGTCACCTTCACCGAACGGACCATGCTGAATGCCGATATCACCCAATGGAAAACCAGCACATACCAGTTTCAGCTGCAGATATAATCACACTTTCCTACGCATAAATTGGAAAGGTGAAGTAAGAAGAAGAAAATGAATAGCCGGCCTGCCAGGCAAGAACCCAGTCAGCATTTTGAGAGAGCGGCTTCTCTTTTAACGTTGCCTAGATCACTGTAGCATTCATGGAAGAAAAAAAAAAAACTGAAACAAAACTATTTTTATGTGTGTGTCTGCACAAAAATCCAGAACAGAAGCATTTGAATCGAAAAAGCAGACTCTTTATCTAAAAACAAGCTCGTTTTTGTGCTGGTTTTGCAGGGGGGTTGAGGGAAATCCCGTATCTCATTGAGCGGAAAACCCCACAATTATTTGACTCGCTAATGAAAACCGCAGAGAACTTTGGAGAATCATGTATGGTAAAACACTCCTATTTTTCCACCTTTCCTTTGACCCGCAGAGAGTTGGAAGGCCAAGCGATGAAATGACAGAGTGAAAAAAAAGTCATAATTCAGTATCCGCCATGCTGTGCTATCTTTTAATAGGGCAGCATTAGCTATTTGTAAGCATTTGCAATTGTGTGGAATGTGGGGTTGTTTTTTTTACAGAGGTGCCTGGGAGAATTCTGTGTCCTCGCAGTTACTGGACCTATGGAAAAATCCTTAAAATCAGATCATTGTTTCTTCCTTCCTTTCCCTGGCCATATAACAAAACCTGGTGTGAAGCCAGGTTTTGTTATATGCCCTGGACTGATTCATCAAGAATCTCGTTTATTCCAAATTCCTTGGGGTTTCTTTTAAAAATTACTTTAAAGATTGAGCGATGTTCTATCTGGAAGTCTTGAAGCAGGAAAAAAGGGGGGAAAACATAACAAAAGGAGTTACAGCTGGAGAGAACTCTGATTTAGCTAAACCACCTCCCTTTGCTGTTTTCGGGAGTGTGGAATATGTGCGCGTTTTGGTGTTACGACATTTGTGGAAATGACAGCGGTGTCATCCTCATGCCCTGTGGAAAGCTGATCATGCTTGTCTAAGACTTAAATTCTTCTTACACTCCCCAAAGGACCTTTTTTTTAATGCCTGTTTTTTACGTCCGCCTAGGAGGGAGTAAATTCTGTGAAAGTCAATCAAGGCTCTTCCTTGGAGTAGCTATGCATACAGAATAACAGAGTTGGAAGGGTCTTCTAATCCAACCCCCTGCCTAGCAGAAACCCTACACCACTTCACACAAATTGTTATCCAATCTCTTCTTTAAAACTTTCAGTGTTGGAGCATTCACAACTTCCGGAGGGAAGTCGTTCCACGGATTAATTGTTCTGTCAGGAAATGTCTCCTTAGTTCTAAGTTGCTTCTCTCCTTAGTTAGTTTCCACCGGTTGCTTCTTGTCTTGCCTTCTGGTGCTTTGGAGAATAAGTTGACACACCACACACACACATACACACACCGTCTTTGTAGGAGCCCCTTCAATATTGCAGCACTGCTGTCGTGTCACCCTTTTGCTTCTTGGTTTGATTCCTTTCTTCTTTCCTTCCCCCCATGCAAGAATCACGATTCATAATTGGAGCCACTTTGTCCTCTAGGCAAGGAGAGAAATGCGCATTCTTCCGTTGTTTTAACCTCAACACCTTCCCAGGCTGCAGTTCTATCCCGTTGTCTCTGAAGCCAGTCTAGTTGATCTCGGCAGGACTTCCGAACCAACACATTCAAGGTTGACGCCGTTAATTTGGCTTCCCTGAATTAGCTTCTTGAGCCGGAAAGCCGGCTACCAAGGTGGCTCTTGCAGAAAATGAAGCCACCCTGGGTGAGGCTATGTGACAAGATGGCCAATTTAAAATGGAGAAGGCACCGGCCGGCGGTTTAATACGCTCCCTTGCAGCCGCAGAGGGCTTAACGTTTATTCCTCAAATGTTAGATTGCTTGCCAGTTGTCAGTCCACAGCTGAAGCGTGCTTGTGTCAAGAAATATTAAAATCCCAGCCAATTTTTCTGCAGTTTAAACCCCATGGGTGAGCCCGGTTACTTAAAAAAAGGGACTGCCAGAGATTTATTCCCTGTCGGTTTTGCTCTCTGTCTCTCCTGCAATATATATATATATTTTTCCAAGTTAGCATTACACAAATGGCTGAAACCATCCAGATTTTTTTGTTTTTAATTTTTAATTTTTGCTTTCCTTGCAGTTCTTGAAGATTTAATCAATGGCTTAGCCTCTGTCTTCAGGGCCCGGGTGGCAACTGGGCGAAAGAATACATACAGGATGGGAAATTAGGATTAAGCTTTGCAGCCTAGCAGGCAGGGAGGGACGACAATTTCAAAGCACATTATATTATTCAGGGGCCAAATTCTGTGTAAAATAAAAAGGTGCAAATCCAGCGTTCAAGAAAAAAAAGGTTCTAAGAAAAGAGAATCTTTGCAGCTCAGGGTTCAACTGTGGGGTATTTAGTGATAGAATGACAGAGTTGGAAGGGACCTTGGAGGTCCTCTAGTCCAACCCCCTGCTAAGGCAGGAAACCCTCTACCACTTCAGACAAATGGCTGTCCAATCTCTGCTTAAAAAACTTCCAGTGTTGGAGCATTTACAACTTCTGGAGGCCAATTGTTCCACTGATTTATTGTTCTGACTGTCAGGAAATTTCTCCTGAGTTCTAGTCTGCTTCTCTGCTTTGTTTAGTTACCATCCATTGTTTCTTGTCCTGCTTTCAGGTGCTTTGGAGAATAGCTTGACTCCCTCTCCTTTGGGGCAGCCCCTGAGATACTGGAACACTGCTCTCATGTCACCCCTAGACCTTCTTTTCACGAATCTAGACATACCCAGTTCCAGAACTAGACATACCCAGTTCCAGTGCATATTAGGTAGATGCATTAACCTCTAAGCCACAGGCTCTTCTCAGAGAGTTTGGTGCGCTCCATGCTTGGCTGTTTTCATGCAGACATTTCATGACCCAACTAGGTAACATCATCCGTGCTAGAAGGGAGAGGGGTTTGCAAACAAAGCAGCCAAGTTCAGAGAGCACCAAGGACCCCACAAGAAAAAAGACGCAAGTGCTTGCTGTTAACAGCCACGTCGAACAGCAGTCTTGCAAACAGGTGTAAAATGTCCTTACACTACCCTAAGTGCACCTCCTCCAATAGGAGAACATCCCTCTCAGAGTTGTAGGGGGTGTCATTTAAGAGAACACTCCACTTTTCACTGATGGGATGCATGTCAAGGCTTTCCTTGGAAAACCTCCCCAATTCTCAGTTTCTTATCAATACAGACCCCAACTAGGACATGATAAATTGAGTGTCAGGATTCTGGCAGTTACCCCCGTTTAAATCCCGAGTCTCAAGTCAAACTTCCAAAACTTCAAAAGGAGTTAACATGTCTGGCACTGCCTGGGTGTAGCCGACTCTGAGACACATCATTCATGGTCACCCTTGACCCTGGTTTTCCCCCCACCCCCTCCGGGTGTATCCTAATTCATATCCTCCAATGGGACACATCCATAGTCAAGAGTCGTCAATCATGTACTCCGGTTAGAATTTTGCGTGGGAGAAACTTCAGTCCCCTAATTACTATCTTTGGAAACATTTTAAGGAATGCACTTTCGGGTTGCAAGCTGCCGCCCTGCTCCCCCCTCCAAGTTGACCTATTTGAGACAGGATTTGAATAGTCAGTCTATTCTGATGCCCTATGTTACCCTCCCAAGAATAAGGGCGGATGTGAAAAAAATAATAATTTTTTTTAATCTTTGCAGCCGGTGAATTTGTAGAAAACCAATCATTCTACCTGATCATGTCTCAATTTTCCTGTGAGAGGGCTTCCCCTCTAAATATATATAAGGAAAGTCCCGTGTAATGATTTACCAGGGATCTTTCTGGATCTAATTAATTATTTGGAATGCCATCCAGGCAGGACCTTGTCAACAGGTGATATAAACAATTGGCTTTTAGCCCTCTTGAGGCCTTTTATCTTTGCTGGTGCTTCCCCTGTTTAGCTCTAAATGACAGCTCCCCCCTTGGCACAGCGTGAGCTTGTGTGATCCATTGTTTTCAAAATGCATAATTGATATACCTAAAATACTGCCGAAGGATTCCTTTTAAATTGTTAAAAGAACTGGGCCTTGGGCTCACGTTCAAGATGAAAACGAAGGAGGTCGTAAGAGCCTCACAGATTCAGCCAAGGGAAAAGCTTTTATCATCTGAGAGTGGTTTTTTTTCTTCTCCTTTTGTGTGTGTGTGTGTGTGTGTGTGTGTAGCCAAAAGAGCTGGAAAAATGAAAAAACACACACAGACGCACAAATCACAAATGGTTTGAGATTTGATCCTCCTTTCCTTGCCTTGAAATCAGGGTCACCCATTAGTGAGGTGAAGGTTTGAGTTAGGTAAAGACAAATTTTAGTTTCATTTATTTGTGTTAGAAGCGTCACAAATGAAACAAGGCATACCATATCACTTAAAATATAAAATAACAAGATCAAAATATGTGCAAGTTAAATGGATCTTGCCCAGAGTTTTAACAACTGATTATCATTGGAGACAAACCTGTCTTAGGAAAAAAAGAAAGAAAACCCACCAGTCTGAATGTAACATGCAACCATCAACACCTCAAGACCTCGTAGCCTTGTCTTTGACTCAGCCCTCTTTCCTCGACTTACAACAGTTCGTTTAGTGACCTTTCACAGTTACAATGGCACTAAGGGATTTATGACCGTTTTTCACACTCACAACCGTTGCAGCATCCCCAAGATGACTTGATCAAAATTCAAACACTTGGCAACTGACTCTACCTTTTGTAACTTGGGAACAAGGGAAATCACTGACCAGATAGGTTGCTTAATTAATTCTTCCCTTCTCCCTCTAATCAAAATATTTTTCAGGTGTTGCTAACAAATATTCCAGACATCCTTTTCTGGATTCTAAACCATATCCGATGAGGGTCACACAATTTGTCTGATGTATTGCATTCTTGCGCTTGAGTTTGCAGACCATGCATTATCTACAAACCAGTTGGAAAATGGCTCTTCTGTCAGCGGAGTCCTTGTTTGTATAACTTTGCTTTGTTGAATGAACCCTAGATGGAATTGCAGGTTTTTCTAAGGGATAAACTATGTTTTACAAGCCATAATGGCACCCATGCCAAAGCCAAATAAGGATTAGCCTGATGGGCAAATCTCATCTGTCTTCTTTAGCAGATTAACAGAGTTGGAAGGGACCTTGTAGGTCATCTAGTCCAAACCCCCTGCCCAAGCAGGAGACCCTACACCATTTCTGACAGTCTCTTCTTGAAAGCTTCCAGGGATGAAGCTCCCACAACATCTGAAGGCAATTTGTCTTCCATAGGTTGATTGTTCTCACTGTCAGAAAATTCCTCCTCATTTCCAGGTTGAATCTCTCCTTGGTCAGTTTCCATCCATTATTCCTAGCAGCCTTTGTGTGCTTTGGAAAATAGCGTGACCCCTTCCTCCTCTCTGTGGCAGCCCCTCAAATATTGGAAGACTGCTATCCTGTCTCCCCTGGTCCTTCTCTTCCCTAGACTAGCCAGGCCCAGTTCCTGCAACCGTTCATCGTATGTTTTAGCCTCCAGTCCCCTCATCATCCTGGTTGCTCTTTTCTGCACTCTTTCTCAGCATCTTTTTTTATAGTGTGGTGACCAAAACTGGATGCAGTATTCTAGGTATGGCCTTACTAAGGCTTTATAGAGTGTTACTAGTACTTCATGTGATTTTGATTGTATCCCTCTGTTAATGCAATTTAGGACTGCATTGGCTTTTTTGGCTGCTGCAGCACACTGCTGGCTCATATTTAATTGGTTGTGCACTAAGACTCTCAAGATCCTTCTCAAAGTTGAGTAGGAAGATGTGGAGAGCTAAATCATGGCTTGATTGGAAAGGATGTCACTGTGTAGCACCCCACAACACAGGGTTATGAGTAAAAGTCTCAATGCTACCTCACATTCAGAAACCAAACCAAATAAAACCACCTCTG